TGGCACCATTTGACAAAGGTGCTATATAGCACCTGTAAAAATAGGGGCTAAATAGCACTAAAAGGGGTTCTCCTATGATTACAAGCCAAAGAACCGCTTTTAGTGCTATATAGCATCATTTTATTTTAGAGTGTACGATTGGTCCCACTTATATTAAGTGTCCCTAATACCTGTGTAATTACATAGTAACTAGATGTGTACGTAGTATGTAACCACAGTGTAAGTACACATTGGTACATAGTATCCAGAGCTGTAATATTTCTGTAACTACACACATGTAACAATCCTCGGAATGGTTTGTGTAAGTACAAATGTGTAACAGGACATATATAACTACATTTTGTAACAACAATATATATGAGTAATTGGGACAATTTGATCCAGGGGGTGGAGATGGGTAGGTTTAGTGGTGGATACGGGATCCAGGGGGTGGAGATGGGTAGGTTTAGTGGTGGATATGGGATCCAGGGGGTGGAGATGGGTAGGTTTTAGTGGTGGATATGGGATCCAGTGGATAGGTTGAGTGGGGGATACGGGAGCCAGGGGGTGGAGATGGGTAGGTTTAGTGGGGGATACGGGATCCAGGGGGTGGAGATGGGTAGGTTTTAGTGGTGGATATGGGATCCAGGGGGTGGAGATGGGTAGGTTTGTGGAGATGGGTAGGTTTTATTGGTGGATATGGGATCCAGGGGGTGAAGTGAAGTCACCGTTGTGGAGATAAGCGTTTGCTTTAGTTGGGCTCTTGACCCTTGACTTTCTAACATTAGTTTTTCTCTGGTTGCTGTAACTGTGTTTATGAAACACATTGGTTATGGTAAGAAAAACCAAGAGAAGTTATGATCAGGTTATATTGGCTGTTTTTTGATACTGTTGTAGTTGTCATGCATGGCCTGATTGACGGATGTCATCAGTGGTGATGTGTAATACAGTTTGTTATTGATCACAACTGCATTTTAAAGAAACACGGAGAGCTTAAAAAACACTTTGCACACCAGTTCAGAACATCTGTACCTTTTAGACACGCAGACATCAAGAATCAGCATATGAATCTCAACAATAGTGATGATCATCAGACAGATTCATGTTGCATTGCATTCTGGGTGCACCAATCATAACTCATCCATGGCTCCCAGCATGCATTGCGTCATGAATAAATTATGTTTTAAGATTTTCTTTTATTCTTACTATTTGCTTTTATTATTGTTGTGACTTTTTACTGCCTTGTTTTGTGACGTTCAAAAAACAAATCAAAATGATCAGAATATTTAGTCACCATCGCTGAGTAATGTATGAAGCTGGTGATGCTGTTTGTGGAGTTGTTGATACGATTTGTTATTAATTACAACTGCATTTTAAAGAAACATGAAGAGCTTTAAAAACATTTTGCGCACCGGTATAGAACATCTGTACTGTTTTTATGATTTCTGTATTATTGCAGTTCTATGATATAAGATAATTTGAAAAAACTAAATGAACCATTTTTAGAAATATAGTTCATAAAGAGGTTTATACGCTGGCACTCATAGACATCAAGAATCGGCATATGAATCTCAGCGATGGTGATGATCATCAGACAGATTCATGCTGCAGTGCATTCTGGGTGCACCAATCATAACTCATCCATGGCTCCCAGCATGCATTGCGTCATGAATAAATTATGCCGCTGCATTGTTTTAGGATTTTCTTTTATTCTTACTATTTGCTTTTATTTTTGTTGTGACTTTTTACTGCCTTGTTTTGTGACGTTCAAAAAACAAATCAAAATGATCAGAATATTTAGTCACCATCGCTGAGTAATGTATGAAGCTGGTGATGCTGTTTGTGGAGTTGTTTAATAATCATCTGTTGAAATCTTGATGGATTTAATGTCTTTTATTTCAGTTGATTTCATCTAAGTCTGTGGCTGAAGTCAGTTGTAGTTCTTGTGTTTCTCTTTTCTTCAGTGATTCTGCTTGTTAACAGCAGCTGTTCATCACTAATGCTCAATCAGCACTTAAT